GAGGCTCCCCGTGCGCTGGGGGCCCACCCTCCGGGAGCCAGCAGGCAGGAAGCTAGCCAGCCAGAAGGCTGGCGCTCCCCACCCGCAGCTCCCTGTGCACCAGAACCCCTCCTTCCGGGGAACCTCAAGGCCGGGAGTGAGTCGCCGGTCCAAAGACCGGCGCTCCCCGCCCGAGGCTCCCCGTGGGCTGGGAGCCCACCCTCCGGGAGCCAGCAGGCAGGAAGCTAGCCAGCCAGAAGGCTGGCACTCCCCCCAGTACATATTTTCTTATAGCTGAAAGGCCAAGATCAAGATGCTGGCAGGATTTTTTCTTCCTGAAGGCTGTGGAGAAGAATCTGTTCCTAGCTTCTGGAAATCTTTGGCATTTCTGAATTTGTGGAAGCACTGCTCCTCTGTCTTCATTGCATCTCCCACATGCATTTTTCTGGGAGATACCATTCACATAGCACTTTCTTTCCTAGCACATTTTGTTGGCCAAAGCAAGCCTTGTGGTCAACACAAAAACACGGGTTGGGAAAAATAGACTCTAAATCAGGCATCGTGGTCATGCCTGTAATCTCATCTACTCAGGAGGCTGAAGCAGGAGTACTGCAAATACAGAGCCAGCCTGGGCAATTTATTTTATTTTATTTTATTTTATTTTATTTTTTTTTGGTTTTTCTCTGGTACCAGGAACCGAACTCATGACCTTGTGCTTGCCAGGCAGGCGCTTTTGCCGCTGAGCTAAATCCCCAGCCCCCTGGGCAATTTATTGACTCTGTCTTAAAATAAAAAATTTTAAAGGGGGGTGATGCTGTTTAGTGGTAGAGTATTCTTGGGTTCAATCCCCAACACTGAGGACAGTACAAACAAATCCCCCAAACAAATTTCACCTCTCGCAAAGTAAGATTGCAAAAGATGCAAATACTAAAAAACCATTCTTTGTGGTTATTATTGCAATCAATTTAACACCTTTGACCAAGTAAGTCAAGAAAAGTCTCAGTGATAATTATTGTGACTGCAGTGTAATTCTAGAAACTGTCTGTCTACTCTGACAAGAGACGTGGCTGTACTTTGTCTTCTTCCTCAGTAATGTTTACCTCTCAGTCTAGCAGCTGGAAAAAAATCTAAATATCTCTGACATGCTTTCTGTCACAGTCCCCCTCCCCAAATCACAGGAAGGCATAAAGCATTGTACTGTGTGCTCTGCATTGTAGAAGGCCAATTTATATAGTTTGTATCAATCAAATTCGTTATACTGCAGCTGGTAGTTAGGGTCTATTAATGAAAGGAACCCATATATTAGCCATTACCCCATCCTTCATTTTCCTCAAAAGATTCAGGTTTTTTTTTGTTTTGTTTTGTTTTTGTTTTTGTTTTTCTCCGGTACCGGGAACCGAACTCACAACCTTGCACTTGCTAGGCAGGCGCTTTTGCCGCTGAGCTAAATCCCCAGCCCCAAGATTCAGGTTTTCATTTAATATTATTTCCCTTTAGTTTGAAAATTTTATTTATTATAATTTTTAAT